AGAAACCCTAGAGTTTTCCTGAATTCTGACTGGAAACCCTGGAATTCTACTGAATACTAAAAGGAAACCCTAGCAATCTCCTGAAAAATAAGAGGAACCCCCTGGAATTCTACTGAATACTAAAAGGAAACCCTAGAAATCTTCTGAATACGAAGAGGAAACCCTGGAATTCTACTGAATTTTAAAGGAAACCCTGGAATTCTACTGAATACTAACAGGAAAACCGGGAATTCTCATAAATACTGAGCGGTAACCCTGATATTATTCCTAATACAAAGAGGAATTCCTAGAATTCTTCAGAATTCTTAGTAGAAACCCTGAGGTTCTCCTGAATATTGAAAGATAACCCTGGAATTCTCCTGAATACTAAAGGAAACCCTGGGATTCTCCTGAATACTAAGAGGAAACCCTGAAATTCTCCTGAATACTAAGAGGAAACCCTGAAATTCTCTTGAATACAAAAATGAAAACCTAAAATTCTCCTGAATACTAAAAGGAAAACCCTAAAACTCTCCTGGATTCTGAGAGGTAACCCTGGAATTCTCCTGAATTCTGAAAGCAAACCCTGGAATTCTCCTGAATACTAAAAGGAAACCCTAGAATTCTCCTGTATACTAAGAGGAAACCCTGGAATTCTACTGAACACTTAAAGGAAACCCTGGAGTTCTAATGAATACTGAGAGGCAACCCTGCAACTCTCATAGATACTGAGAGGTAACCCTGGAATTATTCTAGATACTAATAGGAAACCCTAGAATTCTTCTAAGTTCTGAGTAGAAACCCTGGAGTTCTCCTGAATATTAAATGGAAACCCTGGAATTCTCCCGAATACTAAAGGAAACCCTGGATTTCTCCTAAATACTCGGAGGAAACCCTGGAATTCCACTGAATACTAAATGAAACCCTGAAATTCGCCTAAATACTAAGAAGAAACCCTTGAATTCTCCTGAATACTAAGAGGAAACCCTTGAATTCTCCTATATACTAAGAGGAAACCCTGGAATTATCCTAAATACTAAAAGGAAACCCTGGAATTCTCCTGAATACAAAAAGGACACCCTGGAAATCTCATAATTACTGAGAGATAACCCTGGAATTATTCTTTATACTAAGAGGAAACCCTCGAATTCTTCTGAATTCTGAGTAGAAACCCTGGAGTTCTCCTGAATACTAAAAGGAAACCCTGGAATTCTCCTGATTACAAAAAGAAAACCATGGAATTCTCATAAATAATGAGAGGTAACCTTGGAATTATCCTGAATTCTAAGTGAAAACCATGGAATTCTCCTGAATACTAAAAAGAAACCCTTGAATTCTCCTGAATACTAAAAGGAAACCGTAGAATTCTCCTGAATACTAAGAGGAAACTCTGGAATTCTCCTTCTTACTAAAAGAAAACCCTGGAATTCTCCTGAATACTGAAAGGAAACCCTGGAATTCTCTTAAATACTGAGAGGTATCTCTGGATTATCCTGAATACTAAGAGGAAACCCTGGAATTATCCTGAATACTAATAGGAAACCCTGGAGTTCTCTTGAATACTAAAAGGAAACCCTAGAATTCTCATAAATACTGAGAGGAAACTCTGAAATAGTCCTGAATTCAGAGTGGAAACCCTGGAATTCTCCTGAATACAAGAGGAAAGCCTGGAATTCTCCTGAATACTGGGAGGAAACCCTGGAATTCTCCTGAATACACAGAGGAAACCTTGGAAATATCCTGAATACTAATAGGAATCCCTGGAATTCTACTAAATACTAAAAGGAAACCCTGGAATTCTTTTGAATACTAAGAGGAAACCCTGGAAATCTCCTGAATACTGAGAGGAAACCCTGGCATTCTCCTGAATACTAAGAGGAACCCCTGGAATTCTCCTGCATACTACGAGTAAACCCTGGAATTCTCCTGAACTCTAAAATGAAACCCTGAAATTCTCCTGAATACTAGAAGGAAACCCTGGAATTCTCATAAATACTGAGAGGTAACCCTGGAATTATTCTAAATACTAAGAGGAAACCCTAGAATTCTTGGAAATTCTTTGTAGAAACCTTGGAGTTCTCATGAATACTAAAAGGAAACCCTGGAATTCTCCTGAATACTGAGAGGAAACCTGGGAATTCTCATAAATACTGAGAGGTAACCCTGGAATTATTCTGAATACTAAGAGGAAACCCTGGAATTCTCCAGAATACTAAAAAGAAACCCTGAAACTCTCCTGAATACTAAAAGAAAACCCTGGAATTCTCATAAATACTGAGAGGTAACCATGGAATTATTCTAAATACTAAGAGGAAACCCTTGAATTCTTCTGAATTCTTAGTAGAAATCCTGGAGTTCTCCTGAATACTAAGAGGAAACTTTTGGAATTCTTCTGAATTCTGAAAAAACCTGAAATTCTCCTAAATACTAAAGGATACCCTGGAATTCTCTTAAATACTGAGAGGTAACCCTGGATTATCCTGAATACTAAGAGGAAACCCTGGAATTATCCTAAATACTAATAGGACACCCCTGGAATTCTCCTGAATACTTAAAGGAAACCCTGGAATTCTCTTAAATATTGAGAGGGAACCCTGAAATACTCCTGAATTCTGAGTGGAAACCCTAGAATTCTCCTGAATACTATGAGGAAAGCCTGAAATTCTCCTGAATACTGAGAGGAAACCCTGGAATTATCCTGAGTACTAAGAGGAAACCTTGGAATTCTTCTGAAAACCTACGGAAGTTTTTCTTTTGAGAAGATTAATACTAAATATTTTTTTCGCACATTCATCATTTTACATACATAATATATAAACATGTTTATTTTGAACATTTGCTTTTTGTCAAACTTTGCCTATTGTATATTATTAAAAAATCTATCAAATGTAGGTGAAGAAGCAGCAGTATGAATTCTAGTTTTACAATTAAAGAAATATATTTCAAGTTTTCAATCCTGAAACGTGTATTTGTATTCTCATGTGGACCAAAGTTTAAACTCCAGACCCGTGAAAACTATTTATATAAAAATAAATTCGAGAAAATATTTTTTAATCAGTTGTGAAATATTTTGGAAATGTATATTTTTTAATTTATTCTTAAGTTTGTTCTATTCTACTTATCATTTGTAGAATAAATGAGGGATGATTATAAATAATTATTTCTTTAAATTTGAATATTAGTCTTAAACCAAATATATCTAAACTTGTACTTTTTTCTAGGTCTCAACAGAGGGGGGGGGGGGCTTTTAACATTTTTTGTTGCTAAATCTAAATCCATGTCTGCTAATCTGAATCTAAATCTGCTGAATCTTAATCTTTATCTACTCTGTATCTGCAAACTCTGAATCTATATTATCTAACTCTGTATCTGCAAATCTGAGTCTGTATCTCCAAAATCTGATTCTGTAGTTCCTAAATTTGAATCGGGAACGTCTAAATCTGTATTAAATAGATTTTAATCTGTTTCTGCTAATCTAAATTTAGAACTAAGAAATCTGTATTTGTACCTCCTAAAGCTAAATCTGTATCTGCAAAATCTGAATCTATATGTGCTAAATCTGAATCTGTCTCTGCTAGATCTAAATCTGTTTCTTCCAATCTGAATCTAAATCTGATAAATCTGAATCTGAAAATACTAACATAAACCTTTATGATCACAATTTTTAAAAAACAACAAATATTTGAAAATAAAATATTATTCAAACAAAACCGAGTTCTAACATTCTTCTGTTAATACCTAGTATCCTATCCGGCGCTAAGGGTTAGACACTTGCCAGAAACCTAAAACCCTTAAATTTCTGTACAAGATTTTTAAAACTGGATGAAAGCAAGAATATGTTCTAACTTAAAATTATTGTTGAACATTTGACTCTACTATTTGACTGTTTAACCCTCAAATATTTTATTTTAGAAAAAAAAATAATTTCACATTTAAACCAAAACGTAAGCAACAAATATTGTCTAGAAGCTGAAAAAACTATTTTTATGACTTTTTATTTAGACCTCTAGTGGAGATATTTCCAACTAAATTTAAATAAACAGACAAATAAGTTAAGCCAAATGACACACACTTTTTTCTAAACTTGGCAAGCTAAAGAAAAAAAATGTCTCACCTGGACAAGTATATGAAAGGAACAGATCCTCTCCAGGTCTTAACTCCTTGACAAACAAACATGAAAACAAACAACAACAAAAAAAACTATATTTTTTACGAAACACAAGCTCTGACATTCTTCTGTTCTCCTAGTATCCTCACAGACACTCAATATTGGACACTTGCCAGCTTTTCAAACTCTCAATAGCTCCGGTCAACTTCTGCTCTCCTAGCACATCTTCCATATTATCTTTCAAAAAAACATTATTCTCTTCCACAAATTCAACCTTTTTTTTCTACTGAATTCTTGACTCCGTCCACGGTGCTACTTTTCCCCAATTTTTTAACGAAAATTTTAAACCGATTTTTCCAAAATGGGGAGCACAGATTTTTCCAAAATGGGAAAAGTGTCCGACTTTTTAAAACATTATCTTTTTAAGTTTGTACTTACCCCCTTATTTAGTACAATTCGTATAACAAATCCACATTCGTACTTTTGAGCATTTCCCCAGAAACATACTATATCCATACTACTATTAATAGATTAGTTAATATCTTCAAGTAGGGTAGAATTAATAGATAATATCAATAGATTAGTTATATGGATAAGATGGATAAGATGGATAAGATGGATAAGATGGATAAGATGGATAAGATGGATAAGATGGATAGGATAGATAGGATAGAGAGATAGTAGATAGATAGGATAGATAGATAGGATAGATAGATAGATAGGATAGATAGATAGATAGGATAGATAGATAGGATAGATAGATAGGATATATAGATAAGATAGCATATATAGATAGGATAGTTAGATAAGATAGATAGATAGAATAGATAGATACAATAGATAGATAGTATAGACAAATAGTAAAGCTAGAATAGATAGATAGGATAGATAGATAGGATAGATAGATAGTATGATACCTGTAAGAACGATAGAAAATCCAAGCGAGAAAACGAGCATAGCGAGATGTACAATATACAAGGAACGTATTCTAAGAAAGATCATTAATGAAGTATTTTCTAAAATTTATAAAAATTAGATTAAAAACTTTAAGAATAAAATATAATATTTTTGTTTGTTAAATATTTTGGCAATAATATTGCAGTTCTTGTATAGTACACTTTATATCTTTAACAATAACTAATCATGATCATGTTCATGTTCATTTTCATATAAAACATTTTTTTTCAGCAATATAGATAATTTGGTATTTAAATTGCGGGAAAATCAAATAATCGAATACAAAAAAACCCAGAAAACTCTGGAATGAACGTTGTGGTTATTTCTCCTAAAGAAATGGTTTTCTGATATCTCAAAATAATGTTGAGGACATATTACAAAATCCTAAGCGACATTTTAAAAGAAAGAAAAAGAAGCTGACGTGACTACCATTGTTTCTAGTTCTCACTATTTCAAAATCATATTTTCATTTTTTTCTATATTTTTGAAAATCGGAATAGAATGAAAAAGTTTTCAGATTTGAATTAAATTCAACCAAAATACAAAAATGTTAAACATTCTTTGAAGTCTGAAGTAATTACTTATGTGAAGAGTATCGCTAATCTTGAACACTTGATCTTGAAATTAAATGTGGACACTTTATTTTGAGGATCAAAAATTAATCCCTTCATTTCGGTTACTCCTGCTGAGTACGATTATCACGGGATATCGAAGAGGAATAACATTCATTTATAGATCTGCAATATAGATCTGCAATTTAGATCTGCAATACATGAAGATCTCAAGATTGACAAAAGTTTCGATCTCTAAACAGATTGGTTGAAGGGATTGGTTAAAGGGATTAGTTGAACGGATTGGTTGAACGGATTAGTTGAAGGGATTGGTTGAACGGATTGGTTGCAGGGATTGGTTGGAGGATTAGTTGAAGGGATTATTTGAAGAGATTGGTTGAAGGGATTGGTTGAACGGATTGGTTGAAGGGATTTGTTGAAGGGATTAGTTGAAGGGATTGGTTGAAGCGATTGATTGAAGGGATTGGTTGAAGGGATTGGTTGAAGGGATTGGTTGAAGGGATTAGTTGAAGAGATTGGTTGAACGGATTGGTTGAATGGATTGGTTGGAGGGATTAGTTGAAGGGATTTTTTGAAGGGATTGGTTGAAGGGATTGGTTGAACGGATTGGTTTAAGGGATTTGTTGAAGGGATTGGTTGAACGGATTGGTTGAAGGGATTAGTTGAAGGGATTGGTTGAAGGGATTGGTTGAAGGGATTGGTTAAAGGGATTGGTTGAACGGATTGGTTGAAGGGATTGGTTGAACGGATTGGTTGAAGGGATTTGTTGAAGGGATTGCTTGAAGGGATTGGTTGAAGGGATTGGTTGAAGGGATTGGTTGAAGGAATAGTTTGCTAGAAGATTAATGTAGAAAATAAATTCTAAGTTGTTGAAAGGAAGGGAGGTGGTGGGTAGAGGTGACAGGGTCAGATCTGGGGGCAATAATAATAAATAAAATGCAATAAAATGAAAGATATTAACGACCATAGACTATACCAGGAACTATTTTGTTTGTCAATAACTCACTGCAAACCAAGATGTGCACGATCTAAAGCAAAAATCTAGCAGAATTTTGCCAATTACTCATTTTAAACTTAAGCTAGACACAAGAGCGTGGTATTTTTAAAATGTATGTGCCTAGGGCTTCACAAAAGTTGGTGAGGTAAAATCAAAAGCCAAGGTGTTGCGACACTTCAAAGTCAAAACTGTCTCAAAATGTAATGACAAACTTTCAGAGTTGTCTTTATCTCAGCGAACTTCGTTCGTTTTTCTAGAACTTCGAAATTTTTTTGGACCAAACATATACTAGGAATTTGGACCAAGCATGTACTAAGAATTTGGACCAAACATGTACTAAGAATTTGGACAAAACCTGTACTAGGAATTTAAACCAAACATGTACTAGGAATTTATATTAATCATGTACTAGGAATTTGGACCAAGCATGTACTAAGAATTTGGACCAAACATGTACTAGGAATTGGACCAAACATGTACTAGGAGTTGGACCAAACATGTTCTAGGAATTTGACCAAACATATACTAGAAATTGGACCAAACATGTACTAGGAATTGGACCAAAGATGTACTAGGAATTGGACCAAAGATGTACTAGGAATTGGACCAAACATGTACTAGGACCAAACATGTACTAGGAATTGGACCAAACATGTACTAGGAGTTGGACCAAACATGTTCTAGGAATTGGACCAAACATGTACTAGGATTTGGACCAAACATGTACTAGGAATTGGACCAAAGATGTACTAGGAATTGGACCAAACATGTACTAGGAATTTGGAAGGGCTCAAACATTTCGAAACTGTATATTCTGAAAACCTTTTCTATAAACTATTTAAGATTTAAGTAAATCGAAGGGAATAACTAATTAACAAAAGATCGTATTAATAGGATCGTTTTTGCATTTATCTTCTTTTAGGGATAACATTAACCCTTAAAAATCCAAAAACCTGAAATTAAAATTAAAAAAAAAAAATTTCCCCATCACTTCAAGAATCTGCAGTACACTTTCTTTGTAAAGTTATTGGAGTTCCTGGTATATTCCTTGGTAAAGACAAATTATCTGATATAAGTCATCAAATGCAACAATTTATTCACACATTCATAACTTTTTAAATAGATATTTGCAACCTTTCGATTTGTTGCAGACTTTGTTCTTTTGATCTGAATTTCAAAACTTTGGTGGATTAAAATCTTTCTAGAAAATTAATTATATCAACTCCGCTTGTTCTCTTTATTTTGTACTATTCGGGTCAGCTGAAGATTAAAACATATTTCAAAACTTTGGTGGATTAAAATCTTTCTAGAAAATTAATCATATCAACTCCGCTTGTTCTCTTTATTTTGTACTATTCGGGTCAGCTGAAGATTAAAACATATTTCAAAACTTTGGTGGATTAAAATCTTTCTAGAAAACTAATTATATCAACTCCGCTTGTTCTCTTTATTTTGTTCTATTCGGGTCAGCTGAAGATTAAAACATATTTTTAATGGATTGTTAGGAGAGCATCTTTGTGCAAACTAGAAGGTCAAAGGAATTGAGTCTGTGCCACAAACTCTGATTTTCTTATCACTATATCTTTGGAACAAAATGTTGTAAATTTTAGATATTTCAAACTATGAATTCTGTTGAATCAAATAGTCTGAGTTTGAAATATCAAAGGTTTACAAGATTGGGTTCTAAAGATATTGGGGTTTAAATATTTGAGTTTGTGGCAAAGATTCATTCCTTTGTGTGACATTACTTGTAAGATTTTGTAACCTCATAGCTCCTCTGGTTTTGATTCTACGCAAAAGTATAACGAAGGCCGGTCACATTTTAGAAATTCAAAACATTTTTATTCTTGTCATATAGCTCTTCAATAAGAGAAGTTATGATCAAAAACATAAAAGATTTCAATCTTGCGAACAATTTACTTCAGTCCATAAGCGCCTGATCCAATCAGGGTTCAGTCATGTGTTTGTTGTCTATTCTGAACCAATAGAAATAGTATGGCGTTAACATCTATCTTTCTATCTATCTCATTATCCAATTAGAGATATGAATTCTTGAATCGGCGCTATCAGTAAATGGAAATATTTACTTCTACTGAAACTATGGTGTGACGGGATCTGAGCAAAAATTTCGAACATTAAAATTTGAATGTCTCATCAAGAAGTTACAATATGTAAATCATACTATCATACGAACATTTTTGTGTACAAGAACTCCTGAACTTTGCATTTTAATACATTTAAAATAAATTTTCAAATTACTTAAATGTTTTGAAGAATGTTAATGTGAATGTTATTAAGACAATCCTAAGAACAGTGAATATCAGACAGAGGAAAGATGACTCTTTGCTTGATTGAGAACATTGAACCTGGATTTTCTCTGATCTGGTGTCTCTAGGTTTAACCAGTATTTATCCTCCTTCTCCTCAACCTTCTTCACCCCGCCATCTTTACGCCATTTCATCATCTTTTGTCTTTTGTTTAAATAAAAAAGAAATATATCAACAACTAGAATATTCGAAATTATTCAAGGTTCAGAGATCGGAACTTTTGTGTGAATATTGTAAAACTTGAACGCTTGATCTTGATATCCTATGTGGGCACTTTTTATTTAAGGATTAATGTCTAAAACTCTCAATTAAAGATATCACTGGATATCGAAGAGAAATCAAACTAATCTGTAGATCTGAATTAGATCAATGATTTTTCCCGAGATTCACAATACAATAGTTCTGACTTCTGATCATTTATCAATTAGCATTTATCATTCTTCCTAATATTTTCATCAGAAATATAATCCCCTTTTCAATTCTAGTTTAAAAAATTCTGATGGAGGTTTCAATATTTTCCCACTCTTCTTTTTCAACGATTTTCTTTATATTTTCTTTTACTTTTCATTCTTCATTTTGTACAATTTCTAAAATCCAATGTTAAAGTAGAAAATACGAAAATTAGCTTTAAATGGATAAAAAATTGGGTTAAAAGTGTGTCCTCATCTTAATCCCCGTGAATTGCCGAGTACCACGTTTCTTGAACCATTTTCAACACTTGGTTTAAAAGTCCTCGTTGTATTTCTTTTTATTTTGAAAAACACTGTTTGGTCAAAATTAAACAACTTGTTTAATATTTGCTTCTGTAACCTAGTAGATACTGGACCCAACTAATCCATGGCTAACTGATAATACTTTAAATCTTATCTTCCAAAACATATTTCATTTAGCTTGCGTATTTTATTGCACGATTATTCTGACGTATTTCATTATTATATTTAGCACTTTTATTTAATTTTTAAGTTTTTAAAAGATAAAAATTTAGCCTGCATAATATATAGATTTGTACTAGTGCTTATAATTGTAATTTAAAAATTCAGTTGCAATTAATTTGCAAATGGAGGTTCAAATTTTATGGAGAAAAATGAATTGACATCTAATTGTTTCAATATGGATTATTTAAAGTATTAAACTGAGGGTTGCCCTAGAGAAGTTAAATCAGGCAAATTAATTATTTGAGACGAAACTTCGAACCAATTTTGGCAGTTTAAGACATTTATTCTGAGTTAACATTTTTGCTTGGAATCATTGGGTCATTTTGTGCAGTGGCTTAGATTCTCTGGTTATCGTGTGTAATGAGTTATGGATTCATCTTGTGGCATGAGTTATGGATTCATCTTGTTGCATGAGTTATGGATTCGTCTTGTTGCATGAGTTATGGATTCATCTGGTTGCATGAGTTATGGATTCATCTTGTTGCATGAGTTATGGATTTATCTTGTGGCATGAGTTATGGATTCATCTTGTTGCATGAGTTATGGATTCATCTGGTTGCATGAGTTATGGATTCATCTTGTTGCATGAGTTATGGATTCATCTTGTGGCATGAGTTATGGATTCATCTTGTTGCATGAGTATGGATTTATCTTGTGGCATGAGTTATGGATTCATCTTGTTGCATGAGTTATGGATTCATCTTGTGGCATGAGTTATGGATTCATCTTGTTGCATGAGTTATGGATTCATCTTGTGGCATGAGTTATGGATTCATCTTCTGGTATGAATTATGGGCTCATCTGGTTGCATGAGCTCTTTGGACTCATCTTGTGGCATGAGTTATGGATTCATCCTCTGGTATATGATGAGTTATGGGTTCATCTTGTTGCATGGAAAATGAGGTAATCTTTTATCATGAATTTTGTGGTCACATATAACATGGATTATGAAGTATCCCGGCTGTAAACTGTCCACCCTAAAGCTTAGATTATGTAGCCATATGATAAACTTTAGTTCATTTGAGACACTCTGTATGATTTGGTGTTTACAAGATGTTTACTGTCTCTAATCCTGGCAAATAGGGTTTATGCAAACTCATCTTAACTAGTCAATGTATCTATCTACCAGGTTTTCATCCAACACCACCTCCCCCCTTCATTATAACCGGATTCTTTTTCTTTCCTTCCTCTCCTTCGTGTTTTCTTTGATTTCTTCTATTTATTTTTTGTTTCTTTCGTTTGGCCATTTATTTTTTTCCCTTTATTTATAATTCCTTTTTTTCTTTCTTTCTTTTCTTTTTTTTCCTTTTTATCGTCCTATCTTTCTTTGTTTCTTTGTGTCTTTTTTGTTTGTTTGTTTGTTTGTTTCTTTTTTCTTTCTTTCTTACTTACTTTCTTTCTTTTTATTTCTTTTTTCTTTTTATTTCTTTCGTTCTTTTTTTTTCTTTTTTTCTCTTCGTTCTTTCTTTCTTTCTTTCTTTCTAAATATCTTTTTTTTTCTTTCTTTCTTTCTTTCTTTCTTTCTTTCTTTCTTTCTTTCTATTCTTTCTTTATTTCTTTCTTTCTTTCTTTCTTTCTTTTTTTCTTTCCTTCTTCTATTCTGTCTTTCTTTCCTTTCCAATTTTTGATCTTTTTTTCTTTCTTACTTTAATTCTTTCTTTCTTTCTTTCTTTCTTTTTTTCTTTTTTTTAATCTTAATCTTTTTTTTCTTTCTTTCTTCTTTTCTTACTGTCTTTTTCTTTTTTTGTTTATTCTTTCTTTCTTTCTTTCTAAATATCTTTCTTTCTTTCTTTCTTTCTTTTTTTCTTTCTTTCTTTCTTTCTTTCTTTCTTTCTTTCTATTCTTTCTTTCTTTCTTTCTTTCTTTCTTTCTTTCTTTCTTTCGTTCCTTCTTTCTTTCTGTCTTTCTTTCCTTTCCTATTTTTGATCTTTTTTTCTTTCTTTCTTTAATTCTTTCTTTCTTTCTTTCTTTTTTTTTCTTTTTTTATTCTTAATCTTTTTTTCTTTCTTTCTTCTTTTCTTTCTGTCTTTTTTTCTTTTTTTCTTTATTCTTTCTTTCTTTATTTCTTTTCTACTTTCCTTCTTTCTTTTTTTCTTTCTTTCTTTCTTTCTTTCTTTCTTTCTCTCTTTCTTTCTTTCTTTCTTTTCTTTCTTTCTTTCTTTCTTTTTTTTCTTTCGTTTCTTCTTTCGTTTTTTCTTTCTGTCTTTTTTCTTTGTATATCTTTCTTTCTATCTGTCTTTTTTCCTTTTTTTTTGATTTTTTGTTCCTTTCTTTCGCTATTTTCTTCCTTTCTTTTTTCGTTTATAATTTTTCTCTTTCTTTTTTCTTTCTTTTTTTACTTTAAAAAAAAATTTCTTTCTTTCTTTTTTTCTTTCCATTTTTTTGCTTTTTTCTTTCTTTCTCTCTTTCTTTCTTTCTTTCTTTCTTTCTTCCTATCCTTCATTGTTTATTTTTTTCTTTCTTTCTTTCTTTTTTTCTTTCTTTCTTTCCTTCTATCTTTCTGTCTTTCTTTCTTTCTGTCTTTCTTTCCTTTCCTACTTTTTCTTTTTTTCTTTCTTTCTTTCTTTATTTCTTTTTCTTTCTTTCTTTCTTTCTTTCTTTCTTTCCTCTTTCGTTTTTTCTTTCTTTATTTGTTTCTTTATTTGTTTGTTTCTATCTTTCTTTCTTTGTTTCTTTATTCCTTTTTTTCTTTATTTCTTTATTTCTTTCTTTCTTTATTTCTTTATTTCTTTCTTTCTTTATTTCTTTATTTATTTCTTCCTTTCTTTCTTTCTTACTGTCTTTCTATTAATTTATCTTTTATCTATGTATCTACCTAATCGTTGAATGTATTTCTATTTATCTATCTAGCTATTTACTTAATTTTATTAATCTTGTTTGCGGATGCCTAGGGCAGTGTTAAAACCATTATAGATTTTAGAATCTCTAAACTCCAAGCCGGCGTATTTCCGTAAAAATCTAAACTACGCTGAACCTATGTTACGAAGATTAATTATTGCATAATTCCTTGGGAGCAAAATATCATGGATTAATAGCTTATAAAAAGGACTAAAATGTGATATTTTAGATTACGTTAATATTTATAAAACAATTTTTTTTTCACTAAACACTTAATATTAGCTATTTATGTATTTAAAGATTTTCTTGGCACACGTAAAATGTTCATTTTAATATTTTGTTAAAATTGATAAGATTCTGTATTATTGATACTTGAATTAAAGGTTTGAAGGTTGAGAATCGTTGATGGCACACTTTTAATGGAAGGTTACTATATAATTTCATTGATAGTGTCAACAACAACATATATGTACTTTCAAGTGCAACCCTCCATCAGGGGTTTCATATATGTACTTTACAGTGCAACCCTCCATCTGTAGTATTAGATTCAGAACAGAATCTGTTCAACAAGAAGCCTTGTTCTAACTAAAACGAATAAGATAACCTTACTTTTCTGGCTGAAACTTGACGTCAACCTGTGTGTCAACGTGACTTGCGGATTTATGCTGCAGAAACAACGAAATAAAGTGTAAGAATTAAACACTTCTAGATAGCACGACCACACTATCTGCCAAATGGTTAATCAGATGTAAAGGATACCAACGTAACTCTATACACGAATGACGTGTACAGTCCCTTTAAGTTAAAGCACATGAATATTGTTGTAGACCACAAATGTTTCTAATTACCCCCTCACGCTGTTGTATAATGGCGGGGGTAGGAAACAATTATAAAACTTTAACTTACTTTAATTTCTATGGATAACACCATTTAGAATAACTATTTTCCAACAGGGCTAATCCTAAACATATAACGAAATAATTTAAACCAATAATTATAATAAAAATAAACTTTTCTAACTTTCATTAGAAAATAGAAGACACTCATGGTATGACTGTCTTACCCTGTTTACTCCCTCTCAGTTTTTTCTTTCTTTCAATATTTAGTTTAAGACATCTATATTATTATTAAACACTAATACCTTTTTATAATATCAATATTGGACCTTTAAAAAACCAAATTCCATACAAACTAAATTCAACTAAATTATCCACGTGTTGTTTACTATAAACGCTTGTTAGTAATATGAGTTAAAATCTAAATAAGCTAAATAATTGCACTTTATGTAACAATTATAATCTAAATATATTGCAAGAAACAAGGATCGTAAGTAAAACATTGATAAAAACTATAGATAAACTGAAATAAATGTAATGAAACCCTATAATTTACAGGAAATAAGAACTAATCTAACTGTTTTCTTCACACATTTGACAAGGGCAACGCCCTTGACATTTGATAAATCTACGTTTTCATGCAAAATTTGGATAAAAACATGTTGTTTGATTGATTGTACATCCTACATAAAAGAATGTATATATCTCCTGTATATGCTTATGTATATATATAATGTATATGTATGTATATAATCTAAGTGTACCTAAAGTGTACCCTAGTATCCGTCCCCCCGGCCCAACCAAGAATTCATTAGAGGCGGAGCTCTTCTAGCGGTTTCAGCAGTTTCCAATTTTGGAAATCATTTCAAACATTCCTCACATTCTGACATTTTGACACGTTTTCCCGCCACCCTCCCCCACACAAACATATAAACCAGGGACAATTATTTATTATTAACCATTTTAAATCGGATACATATAATGGATATGAAGAATTGAAGCGGATAGGTTGGTTAAAGGAGTTAAACTTGGTGTTTTATATTAAAACTTTTGGTCTTTCTCGGTAAATTATCAGTCGGTCGACAACCATCCAACCAACCGGACCAGGCCTCAACAGTTCACCGTTACTTTCACGTTCACCGCTTTTCGAACCAAAACGACGAATGACGATTTATCTGATGGTTTTGAGACTATAATATGAAATCGGCCAATAGCAAGGATAACAAAAGGTATTGTTTACATATGTTAAATGCATTTAAGTAAATGCAGTATATATTGCAACGAACTGCATCAAACTGCACATTGATGCACATTGGTTAACCTCTCCATAGCTTATCAATCAAATACTTGATGCTTTGACAATGTATGTGGGATACACATTAGTGTATCACAATAATATAACAAATCATACAGTAAACACCAGCATTTAAAGTGATTGTTCATTTCGACCTTTCGGTAATTTACCTATTTCAAAGCAGCATAAACAGGATTTTTCCAATTACAACATCAAAACTGAAGCTTTAGAATCCAGTGCTGGGCGGCTTTAAACTATTCATATCCAGGGCTACAAAAATGAATTTGTAATTTCCAACCAAGGCACCAGTCTGCTTACACTTCAAAGCCTTCCTAGACTCAATGTGCTGCTGTTTTTTGTCATTAATAATTTTTAAGTTTGTGTTATTCTTTTAAACCTTCTGATTTGAACCAGACACCTGACAACAATCACAAGAGAACAAACTGATCTACAGTAATACCTGGCAGGAATGTATTAAGAAATTTATCTATGGTGGGGGAGGGCTTAAATTTTGTTCTCTCCAGAGGAGGACTCAGCACCCTTCGGGAACATGCTTCTCTATATTAGTTTCGTGAGTTATAACACGAACATGCTTCTCTATAGTTAGTTTCGTGTGTTATAACACGAACATGCTTCTTTATAGTTATTTTCGTGTGTTATAACAAGAACATGCTTCTCTATAGTTAGTTTCGTGTGTTATAACACGAACATGCTTCTCTATAGTTAGTTTCGTGTGTTATAACACGAACATGCTTCTTTATAGTTATTTTCGTGTGTTATAACACGAACATGCTTCTCTATAGTTAGTTTGGTGTGATATAACGCGGAAATACATAGCTATAGTTAGTTTCTTGTAATGCCCTGATTAAAATAATCCAAATCTAAACTCAATGTTTACTTAATTAGCCATTAGTGGTGTACGGACATAAAGACTAATTAGCATTTTCTGGAGTCATTTTTGTAATTGCGATTTATCATTATAAACTTGAAATTGAATTTGCTAGGAGATTCCATTAAACAGCTTAATTCCTTTAATCATCTTTCAAAATTGAATCTACTTATTCTAATCATAATTAATACTTAATGAGATAGAGATGTATTTTCTATAAAATAAATATAAAATATTTGTAAATCTTCAGGATTGGACCTGTACTAAATTGAGGCTTGGAGAAGAATTCCTGAGGTAAGATTTCAGTTTGTAAAGCAAAATAGAGAAAAAACAGACATGAAAATTCTGTTTGAAACCATGAAAACTAAGTAAGGAATCATGAACACTATCTTTAAAACCATGAAAACTTAGTTAGGAATCATGAACACTATGTTTGAAACCATTAAAACTTGGTTAGGAATAATGAACACTATGCTTGAAACCATGAAAACTAAGTAGGAAATAATGAACACTATCTTTAAAACCATGAAAACTTAGTTAGGAATCATGATCACTATGTTTGAAACCATGAAAACTTAGTAAGGAGCATGAACACTATGTTTGAAATCATGAAAACTTAGTAATGAAGCATGAACACTCTGTTCAAACCATGACAACTATGTTAGGAGTAATAGAACAATGTTTCAAAACTTGAAAACTCTGTTAAGAAGATTGGAATCTATGTTTGAAGCCATGACAACTCTGTTAAATAGATAACATGAGAACTCTGTTAAATAGATAACATGAGAACTCTGTTAAATAGATAACATGAGAACTCTGTTAAATAGATAACATGAGAACTCTGTTAAATAGATAACATGAGAACTCTGTTAAATAGATAACATGAGAACTCTGTTAAATAGATAACATGAGAACTCTGTTTTTAAACCATGAAGACTCTGTTTGAAACTATGATTTCTCTGTTAGGAATGAAAACTATGTTTGAAACCATGAAAACTTTCTTAGGAAGCATAAAAACCATGAAAACTATACTGGGAACATGAAGAACATGAATGCATGAAAACAATGTGAAACCATAAACTATATTTCATCAAGATTAACAAAACTTTCATCCCTAATTTAAAAAAGAAAAATTTATAATGGGCCGAACTAATCATGTCTGGGAGGGCTAATATCTAATTTGTTGAAAATGGCCAGGGTTCAACACACAAATGATGATTTTCAAGATAAAACATTTCAGACAATCTGCAAACACTAAAACTACATTATTTTAATGCGAAATCTTGCCTATGTATAGAACTTGGTACTGTATCTTTTGGTTGATATTAACGCTGAGGCTTCCATGTAAAAAAATATTTTTAACACAAAAGGTGTAGAGTTTTTGCCTCAAACTCTAATTTTCTAATCCCTCTATCTTTGCAACCCGGTGCTATATAAAACTTTGATTTTTAAAACTAAAAATTCTGTCAGATCAAATGGTCTAACCTTGACAAATTATAGGTTGCAAAGATATAGGGATAAAAAATTTAAATTTATGGCAAAAACTCAATTTCTTTTTTTCAGAGAAAGAATGATCAAATTAAAAAAAAAACATTTTATTCTCTAAATATTATTTTCAATTATAGAGAACATTGATTCAATCTGAATAATTTTTAAAACTTGGAAAGGTGTCTTATAGAAAAAGTACAGGAATTCATTATCTGCTTCAAAGTTTAAATGTGTAAATCTCCCTATTTCTTTTTTTCTAACATATCTGGTCAAAACTTTGTGTCCAAAGTGATTAAAGCTACTTAAACACTTTGCATTGTGGATTAGCTTTCTTAATGCATGCAAAAAGCCGGAGATAGCTGTATAGGAAAGGATGAGTTGGTTAGAATGATGACTTGATCTATCTACTTGACAACATGAAGATACAATAGGGTGGTTCAGGCTGTTCACCACCTTCCCTCTACTAACCTTCCCTACCTTCCCTCTACTAACCTTCCCTACCTTTCCTCTACTAATCTTCCCTACCTTCCCTCTACTAATCTTCCCTTCCTTTCCTCTACTAACCTTCCCTACCTTTCCTTTATATTCCTTTCCTACCTTTCCTTAATATTCATTCCCTACCTTTCCTTACCATTCCTTCCCTACCTTTCCTTACCATTCCATCCCTACCTTTCTTTACCATTCCTTTCCTACCTTGCCTTACCATTCCTTACCATTCCTTCCCTACCTTTCCTTACCATTCCTTCCCTACCTTTCCTTACCATTCCTTCCCTACCTTCCCTTACCATTCCTTCCCTACCTTTCATTACCATTCCTTCCCTACCTCTCCTTACCATTCCTTCCCTACCTTGTATTACCATTCCTTCCCTACCTTTCATTACCATTCCTTCCCTACCTTTCCTTACTATTCCTTTCCTACCTTCCCTCTTCTAACCTTCCTTACCTTTCCTTCCCTACCTTCCTTTACCATTACTTCCCAAATTTCCCTTACCATTATTTCCCTACATTCCCTCTACTAACCTTTCCTTCCTTTCCCTTCCCAACCTTCCTTTACAAATATTTCCCTACCAGCCCTTACCATAACTTCCCTACTTTCACTCTACTACCCTTCCCTACCTTCCCTTACTTTACTTCCTTACCTTCTCTTACTATTCCTTCCCTACATTCTTTCTCTTGTCCTTCCCTAACTTTTCTTACTTTTCCTTCCCTACCTTCTCTCTACAAACCTTCCTTTCTTTCCCTTACTTCCGTACCTTACTTTCATCTGATAGAGTTCTAATGTTCTTTCCACCTTCTTCCTTTCTTCCTTCCTTCCTTACTTTAAGCAAGCTTGCAAAAAAAGCGATTAAAAAAGAAATTTCCTTTTTCTTGTTCATTTCCCTGCAAATTCATTTTATTAAAATCTTTGCCTAATCATTCAATAAATCAGATCATCAGATAAAAAGTTTTTTTTTCTGTTGCAGAATGAGACAATAACGTTTTCCAACTTGGGGTTTTGGTAAATTCTATTTTTCAGTCAATAAACGCAGGATTTTAATGACGACCTTCTTTTACTGGTTGAGGATAATAACAGCTTAAACAACAAAAATATTCACCCTTGTTGTCGGAATAGTCTTGATCAATAAACATCATATTTTTGCGTAAATAGTTGAAAATAATCTGATTCAATGCTAATATTGTCATTGATTTTGTCTTAACATGTTTATTATTATTTTTCTCTACTTTCTTTTTTTCAATTTTTTTTTATTTCAATAATTCAGTTTCAATTTATTATAATAAAAATAATACCCACAATTAGAGTTCAATTAAATTTTATTCGCTCATTAAAGGCAAAAATTATTCTTCGTATTTGATTAGATTAATTAAAAATATTTTCAGATTTGATTTATAACAAAAAGTGCTTTTTAATCTATTTTATGCATTGGTAGCTTGAAAAAAGATTTTATAATCTAATTGGTTCTAGGTCCAATCTGAGTGTGTTAACAATTTTTGAAAATTGATCTAAACGATTACTTTTATTTATATTTAAAACTATAAATAGAGATATACTGTTGAATTCTCAGATTCTTTCAACTTTAAACTTTTACAATCTTATTCCTGCCTACCTATCCTAAACCCTACAAGGGGAAATTCTTATTCCTGCCTACCTATCATAAACCCTACAAGAGGGAATTCTTATTCCTGCACATCTAACATAAACCCTACAAGAGGGATTCTTATTCCTGCCTAACTATCATAAACCCTACAAGAGGGATTCTTATTCCTGCTCATCTAACATAAACCCTACAAGGGGGGATTCTTATTCCTGCACATCTAACATAAACCATACAAGAGGGATTCTTATTCCTGCACATCTAACATAAACCCTACAAGGGGGGATTCTTATTCCTGCACATCTAACATAAACTCTACAAGGGGAAAACTTATTCCTGCACATCTAACATAAACCCTACAAGGGGTATTCTTATTCCTGCACATCTAACATAAACCCTACAAGGGGGATTCTTATTCCTGCACATCTAACATAAACCCTACAAGGGGGAATTCTTATTCCTGCCTACCTATCATAAATCCTACAAGAGGGAATTGTTATTCCTGCCTACCTATCATAAACCACAAGAAGGAATTCTTATTCCTGCACATCTAACATAAACCCTACAAGGGGGAATTCTTATTCCTGCACATCAAACATAAACCCTACAAGGAGGATTCTTATTCCTGCACATCTAACATAAACTCTACAAGGGGGGATTCTTATTCCTGCACATCTAACATAAACCCTACGAGGGGGAATTCTTATTCCTGCACATCAAAGAAAATAGGATTAAAAAGGTAACCATAAAAAAATAACTCATCATACAGTATATCTATGTTATGATATATTTAGATTGGCAAAGCATGTGTGATTCAAATGTTCTTTCTTATTAAAAAATTTAAAGACAAATATTTTCAATTCTCAAAAATATATTCACATTTCAAGGGCTTTCCAAATATGTTGATTAAGGACCTATATCGGTTAAAAATCAATCGAACTTCACCCTCCCAACATCTACACTGTCTACACTGTCTACACTGTCTACACTGTCTACACTGTCTACACTGTCTACACTATCTACACTGTATACTGTCTACACTGTCTACACTGTCTACACTGTCTACACTGTCTATACTGTCTACACTGTCTAACTGTCTATACTGTCTACACTGTATGTACTGTCTACACTGTATATACTGTCTACACTATCTACACTGTCTACACTGTCTACACTATCTACACTGTCTACATTGTCCATACTGTCTACTTTCTACACTGTCTACACTGTCTACACTGTCTACACTGTCTACACTGTCTACACTGTCTAAACTGTCTACATTGTCTACATTTTCTACACTGGCTACACTGGCTACTCTGGCTACACTGTCTAACTGTCTGTACTTTCTACACTGTCTACACTGTCTACACTGTTTATACTGTCTACACTGTCTACACTGTCTACACTGTCTGCACTGTCTACACTGTCTACACTGTCTACACTGTCTACACTGTCTACATTGTCTACACTGTCTATACTGTCTACACTGTCTGCACAGTCTACACTGTCTATCTGTATACACTGGCTACACTTTCTACACTGTCTATACTGTCTACACTGTCTACACTGTCTGCACTGTCTACACTGTCTACACTGTCTACACTGTCAGACAGAGTACACCCCTCTTGGAGACTAGGGCTTTAAATCCACCCACTTTCTATACACATACTTTTATCGCCGAAAAATATTTAACGACCCTTAAAATTTTTCTAATTAAATCTTTGGGATCCAAACTCAATGCCTTGGCGTGCAATGCAAGATGCAGGCTAGACGTTAATATGCCCGTTAAATGCAATTTAACGAGGTTTCCAAGAAAGGTCGTCGTTTCCTTGCTCGCATGCACTGGTCTTTTAATTAGAAATAAAAGTTAAAGTGGTTCTCAGGCAACGCCTTTTTAAGCAAATAAATGTCTAAATATTAAAAATATCTGGGGAAAAAAATGTTTGTTTTTTCTCAGATTGAATCAAAATCAATTAATAGGGAAGAAGAAAACCTTTTTTATTCCCAGCAAGTAGAAAACGTAATAAATATAGAGAAAGTAAACATTAAGGTGCAAATTCAATAAATTTACAGGGTGAAGGAAAACATAGCAGAGCGTAAATTCATTACGGTGTATTAAAACACATTCGATAGATATACAGGGTGTATCAAAATACATAAAAGTGTAAATCCAATGAATATACAGGGTGTATCAGAACAAATTAGATTGTAGATCAAATGTATCTACAGATTGTACTAAACAGTAACATTTTTTCTTATCTTCACCGTTGATACTCTTGAATTTGGTTACTCGCAAATCAAGCACGCTAACAAAAGTTGTCTAATATTAAGTTAAAATAATAGAAAATTAGGGTTAAGTAGGGAAGTATAATTTAGAATGAATTTAAATTTTAATTAAGAATAAAGTTGATGTAGGAGAGGAGAATGGAGAATGCACTGAATCTATGCATTCTTCTATGTAAAAGTTTTTATAAATGTTTAAACTTCTTAAACTAGCAAGGAGAATGAACATATATTCTTTTATAGAACTTTTCCAGATACATCCTTATTCAAATAAAGACAGTGGGGAGAAAGTAGAAAACAAGAAAATAAGGGAAAGCAACATGGACGAGAAGAATGATGATAGAGGAGAAGGATGAGAATGAAGGAGAAGGAAAAGAACGGAGGAGAAGAAAAAGAACGGAGGAGAAGAAAATAAAAGGAGGAAAAGGAAAAGAAAGGAAGAGAAAGATAAGGATAGAGGAGAAGGATGAAAATGGAGGAGATGGAAAAGAAAGGAGGAGAAGGAAAAGAAAGGAAGAGATAGATGAGAATAGAGGAGAAGGATGAAAATGGAGGAGAAGGATAAGAAAGTAAGAGAAAGATAATGATAGAGGAAAAGGATGAAAATGGAGGAGACGTAGGAGAATGGAGGAAAAGGGATAAAGAATAAAGGAGTAGGAGGAGAATGTAGAGGGGGGGGAAGGATGAAGGAGAAGAATGATAATGGAGGATAAGAATGCAAATGATGGAGAAAGATTACAATGGAGGAGACTGAGGAGAAGGAAGAAAAAAGGATAAGAAGAAATGAATGAAGGAAAAGGAGGAGAAGAAGGAGGAAAAGGAGGAGAAGGAGGAGAAAGAGAAGGAGGAGTAGATACGAAACCAACCTTAAAAATTAATTTTTAGAATGGAGGAGATTTTGGATTCTCAGTCGCAGGGACATTTGCAACCTAAACCACAGGCCTCAAGATGTCCCCATTGTCATAGGTTAGTTGGTTGGTTGGTAAGTTGGTCGGTTTTGTTAGTTAGAAAGAGAAAATTTCGTGTGGGTTTGTATTGTAAAAGTGACGTTTCTAACCTAATATTGGCAGTTTAAAAACTTTCTTAAAAAACTTTAAATCAGCTAAATTTAATTTAACACAGGAACTATATAAAAATTTATCATAATTCAGAGACATAATTTTGCAAGTATATAATTTTGGCTGGCAAAACAAATATTTCTATAAACCTAAATAATTTAGTTTTCTGTCCCCATTACTTTACTCCAGTTAATTGACCTAAGTAGCATCTTCTTTGAATTTTCTTTAGTTTAGGATTTTCAAATTTAAGAAAAGAGTAAATTATTTCTAGAATTTTTTCAGAGGATGCAACTGCTAGAACTCTTCTAATTATAAATTCGAGCAGAATAATATGAGTTTTAGACCTTGCAAATATATTCGCAAATTTAATTTTATGAAAAAGTAAAATAGCAAGTTCTATCTCATTCCTACATAGTTGGGCTCAACACTGGTCTTTTCAGAATAATAATTACATAGATTTATAATGTAAAATATACTTCAAACTTTTGTATCATAGATTTTAAAATTTTCTTTTTTTTAGAGAATTTACTAACCTTCGGCATCATATAAATCAGCAACATATGCAGGTAGATAGTTAGTTAGTTGGTTTGAAGCTAAATAGTTTTTTTTATAGTTGTTCATGGCAGTTGTTAACTATAGTTGGTTAGTTTGATAATTGGTTATAAGATAAATAGTTTTTTATAGTTCATAGGTAGTTGGTTAGTTGGATAGTTGGTTAGAAGCTAAATAGTTAGTTTTTTATAGTTGATAGCTAGCTGATTACTTAGATGGTTAGAAGCTAAATATTTAGGTTTTTAATAGTTGAGATAATCTTTGCCAACTTATAAGTCAGCAACATTTGAAAATGGTTTTTTTTATATAAAAGTCCAGTTTTTTTACTTTATTTGTGAATTACACGGAATTCACACTAGGCTGCAGGAATTACATATAATCATGTTTGCATCAACCTTCATATACTTTCTACTCTAATTCAACTTGGTGGAAATGCATTCGACCTAAAAGAGATTGTCCAAGTTATTTAAACTGATCCAATTCATTTTAACGAGTTAGAGAACCAATTCACAAAGGTACGTTTTCAAGACATTAAACTTTCAAAAAAACAAACTACTGTTTTCCTATATCTGAAGGGACATATTTTATATTTATAATTTATATCTATAATATATTTATAAAGAACTGTATTTGAAAATAATCAATAGTTCAATAACGGAATAATATTTGCTCAGATAATGTGTAAAGGGTACCATTGTGAGTCGGTAGTGCAAATTCTTTAAATGGGGGTCCCTCCACATAACCTTGGTAGACCATTTAGGACAAGTACAAAAATGTCTTCAATTAAATTTACTCTGCTTTTTCTTTTTACCCTGTCAGATTTTTGCTTCTAGCTGGTTTCATGTAATCATTGGATTGTTAAACAGTTTGTCAGTTATTCTGAGGTTTGAAAGCATAATATTACTAAGTGGGATTACTTGAAGTTTAATGAGTTGTAACCAAGGTTTAATAATTAGCTGATTGATTATTCCTTCCTGCAACATCTTGGTCTTTAATCATCTTTATCTCTTTTCATCTTTCATATCTCATATTCGAATCTCTTTTCATCTTTCATATCTCATATTCGAATCTCTTTTCATCTTTCATATCTCATATTCGAATCTTTTTTCGCAAATCTTTTAATTTTGGCTTCCATTGAAATTTCATTTTTCTTTCTTTTTTTGCTTTTTCTACTTTTTTAATTTCTTTTGTCTCTAAATCGACATTTCCCCCATTTACTTTCTTACATTAATTTACTAAAACTTAAACTATTTTCTATCTCTGACATTTCTGTTGATCTATCCTTCGATTTATCTATCTATCTGTCTGTCTATCTATTTGTCGATTTATTCTATATTTATATATCAGCCCCCCCTGGACCAGTGAAATTTATGGATTTCAGGGGGTTTTTAGACCCCAACGGTTGCTGAGCCCCCCAGGAATAAAAAAAAGTTTTAAGTCCCCCTCCTTGACAAATTTCTGACTATGCCCCTGTAATATCTATTTATCTATCTATTTCTTGATTTATTCTATATTTATCTATCAATTTGTCGATTTATTCTATATCTATCTATTTCTCTATTTATCTATCTATCTATCTATCTATTTGTCGATTTATTCTATATTTATCTATTCGTCTATTTATCAATCTATCTATCTATCTATCCATCGATTTTTTAAAAATATTTATTTATATAAATATCTGTCTATCTATCTATCTATTTATCTATCTTTCTATCTCTTTACCTACCCGTCGATTTATTCTATATCTATCTATTTGTCTATCTATGAAAGTATCTATATAATTGTAGTTTAGCAAAGTCTGAAGGGGAGCGTAGAATTATATTCTAAGCTTGCATAATGCACTTTCCGAAATATATTTTGATTTATTCTGTAGAGAGCTAGCTGTACAATTCTAAACTTAATATATTATAATTCAAATCAAATTTGTTTATTTCAAATATCAAACTTTATAATTTAATGGGATTTGTTTCATGATAAAGGAAGAATTAAAGAATTAAAATGAGAATGAAAACTTTAGCTTAAAACCAAGCTAAATCATTCGAATTTAGAGGCAAATCGGTACAGGGGTTTTTGAGTTATGATCGGACAAACAAACAGACAGACAAACAGAGATCACAACTTTATATATAAAGATTTGCTTGGGAACCCAGCGTTGCACAGGGAGTCATAGTTAGTTCCACCCGTGCATTGTCGTTATTTATGATTTAAAACTATTTTTGCCGATAAAAGTCGATCCACTCACCTTAGAATTTCAAAAAATCTAGCTAAAAACATTCCTATGGTCCTCCCGAGTACCCAAATCAAAATTTAAGGCAAATCGGTCCAGGTGGTAGTGGAAGTAGTGGAACGGTTGTTCGTTTTGTTTTTAAATGCTAAAAACATTGTCAGGAAACATTTTAAAGGTTTACAAAATGGTGTTTGGCATTTTCCCAAGGGCGACTTCCCAAGCGACATCAACTTTTCAAGTGGCAACTTCCCAAATGTGCAATTTCCCAAGCGGCAACTGTCCATGCAGATTAGGTTAGGCCTTCTGAGGCGCCGCAGGCTGCAATAAGGCCAAGCGCCGCAGGCTGCAATTGGGCCAAGCGCGCGCGCCGTGGGGAAATTACCCAATTTTGAAATCGCCACTTGGAAATATACCCTTGTGAAGGTATCTAAAAGATCCGAAATTTAAAGAAGGGGAGAGGATGACAATTATTTTGCTGCTTTTTTCAACGTATTCTGTATTCTGAATACTGTATAAAGAGGTGCACAAATGTATTCTGTATTCTGAATACTGTATAAAGAGGTGCACAAATGTATTCTGTATTCTGAATACTGTAGAAAGAGGTGCAAAAATGATTCACAATTATACAATGATGTCACACAAGGATAAAAATCTAAGAAAATTACGTTTTCTATTAAATAACTTTAAAACATTTTTTCTGTAAGAATGTTAGAATTATCAAAAATATTGACTGAATTAATTTTATGATCTATCCGATTTCTTTTAAATTATATTTTTTGATCGAATCAAAATAGTTAAAAATGCTTAAATACGATCTTTGCAAATATTTGTGAGAGAGTCCATGTTTGTGAGTCTTTTTCTCCTGATAAATGAATCCTCAATGATTTCTTTTCTTTATGAATAATTTGTAATGAAAGGGAAACATAATAAATTTAATCCCTGGATCATATATATTTCCTGTATCCTCTGTATCCGCTGTATCCTCTGTATCCTCTGTATCCTCTGTATCCTCTGTATCCTCTGTATCCTCTGTACCCTCTGTACCCTCTGTGTATCCTGTATTCTTTATCCTGTATCCTGTATCCCGTATCCCGTATCCTGTATCCTGTATCCTGTATCCTGTATCCTGTATCCTGTATCCTGTATCCTGTATCCTGTATCCAGTATCCTGTATCCTGTATCCTGTATACTGTATCCTGTATCCTGTATCCGGTATCCTGTATCCTGTATCCTGTGTATCCTCTGTATCGCTTGTGATCCTTTGTATTATCTGTATTTTCTGTATCCTCTGTATTCTCTGTATTCTCTGTATTCTCTGTATTCTATGTATCCTCTGTATCCTATGTATCCTCTGTATCCTTTGTATTCTCTGTATCCTCTGTATCCTCTGTATCCTCTGTATCCTCTGTATCCTCTGTATCCTCTGTATTCTCTGTATTTTTTGTATCCTCTGTATTCTCTGTATTCTCTGTATTCTCTGTATTCTATGTATCCTCTGCATTCTCTGTATCCTCTATATCCTCTGTATCCTCTGTATTCTCTGTATCCTCTGCATCCTCTGTATTCTCTGTATCCTCTGTATCCTCTGTATTCTCTGTATTGACTGTACCCTCTGTATCATCTGTATCCTCTGTATTCTCTGTATCCTCTGTATTCTCTGTATTATCTGTATTGTCTGTATCCTCTTTATTCTCTGTATTCTCTGTATTCTCTGTATCCTCTGTATCCTCTGTATCCTCTTTATTCTTTGTATTGTCTGTATCCTCTGTATCCTCTGTATCCTCTGTATCCTCGGTATCCTCTGTACCCTCGGTATCCTCTGTATTCTCTGTATCCTTGGTATCCTCTGTATCTTCTGTATTCTCTGTATTCTCTGTATCCTCTGTATCCCCTGTATTCTCTATATTCTCTGTATACTCTGTGTCCTCTGTATTCTCTGTATCCTCTGTATCCTCTGTATTCTCTGTATACTCTGTATCCTCTGTATCCTCTGTATCCTCTGTATTCTCTGTATCCTCTGTATCCTCTGTATTCTCTTTATCCTCTGTATTCTCTGTATTGTCTGTATTGTCTGTATCCTCTGTACTCTCTGTATTCTCGTATTCTCTGTATCCTCTGTATCCTCTGTATCCTCTGTATTCTCTGTATTGACTGTACCCTCTGTATCATCTGTACCCTCTGTATTCTCTGTATCATCTGTAATCGATGTATCCTCTGTATCCTCTGTATCGTCTGTATCCTCTGTATCTTCTGTACCCTCTGTATTCTCTGTATCCTCAGTATCCTCTGTATCCTCTGTATCCTCTGTATCTTCTGTATCCTCTGTATCTTCTGTATCCTCTGTATCTTCTGTATCCTCTGTATCTTCTGTATCCTCTATATTCTCTGTTTACTCTGTATTCTCTGTATTCTCTGTATTCTCTGTATTCTCCTCTATTCTTCAGGATGATTGAAGTTTACTATGATTGTATTCCTGTAGTTTAAACCTGGTGTAAAATAAACTCATATTCGTCAAATATTTCAAGATATCGAGCTCATGCATCAGAAACAATTAAATAAAATGGAAAACGACATTCTTCCACACATTTGCAATTTGCACTAAAACATTTTACAATTTACTCTTAAACATATAAACCATTTTTAACACAAACTTAACTTTGAAGAATATGAATATTACATTGACGTTACAGGGATAGTTTTGAGGTAGAGGGTGGAGGGGGGGGGGGGGGGGTGCATGAGAGTAAGTAATGCAAGCGGGCTTGAGAAGGTTTAAAGAGAAAAACTGATTAGAATTGTAAAAAATAGTATTTATATTTGTATTACAATACATTATACAATTCATGAAATAAATGCTTTATAAAATTATATATTATAATATTCAAACACTTACCTTTTCATTTTAAAATATTTAGGTGAAGAACTTTAAGTGTGGTGACTGTGGTTACAGTTGTTATTTAAAAACTGACCTGGAGCGTCATATCAGTAATGTACATGACAAGCATAGATCTCCATGTACCGTATGTGGGAAGAAGTACAGTGATCTCAGACAACATGTAAGAATAGTACATGAAGGGGCAAAGGTATAAAAAAAATTTTTTTCTAAATTTATGTTTCAATTTTCTAAAAATATTTTTAAAGACGGAAGTTTCAAAGTGACCCTCAAGAGTTACCACACTATTCACTATAGTACCCTTTAAACCTTTATCTGATAATGAGAGAGACATAGTTGATTTCTATTTGAATAAGAGACAAATTCTCTTAATTTCCTTCCTTGTCTTTTCTGCATTAATCGGGCCAATAAAGAAGGTTCACTTGAATTTACGTGAACAGTCTCTTTAAGTATATTGTTTTGAGAGAAACTAACTATAATATTTTCCAGGCGGAGTGTCCACATTGTAAAGGAAAATATTCTAACCTAAGCCAACATATTCATAAGGTTCATCTTAAAACCAAGAATGTGATGTGTGATAAATGTGGAATGACGTTTTATCATAATTCCAACTTGAAGAAGCACATTGAGAGCACACATACCCAACATAAGGCTATTCAGACATTAAACAATAATTATCTTGAAGATATGGATAGACAAGCATATTCTCCAGGTTATCAACCTAATTATTGGACTCATTATGAACAATATAATCATAATCACACACATTATCATTATCACTATCAGAATAACTACTACGGAAGGCAATGGTGGTATTAAGGATCATGAAATTTGAAAACATTTAGACAAGTCTAATTTCAGATGATAAACATCCAACTTATTAGTAATTAGTAAAATTATTATTTCAATTTGTAATTAATTGTGGATTTTGTGATCCTGAATATTTTTTACATATTCCATAAAACTTTTTAAAATCAACTTTTTGTTGAGGTCATTGTTTTGGTATAAACTTTGTACACTTTCTTTGAGGTTATTTTACATGTGAGGGCCTGAAAGAATTGTGGACCTGATCGGTTCAATTAGTTTGAGATTTATTGGATATTAACTAAGAAATATATATACATAGAAAATAGTATATGCAGTCGACTAGATATAACTTATACCATGCATAACATATGTACGAGATGCGTCCAATTAATTTTGCGAAATTCGTTTAAAGAGATACATATATATGTATTTAGTTCTATGCTGTGACAACAATGCTAATCCACCTTCAGGAGAACACTCCTTACATCACAACAACAATCTGCTTGACGCTAACCTAGCTAAAAGTGTATCCGGTATAGACATAGTGAACTTTACAAAAACAAGTTACAGGGCTGAGACCTCTAGAAGTATACCTCTAAAAAAATTCGCAAAACTTATTGGACGCACCTGGAAATCGATCTGTAAAGATGTTTTTTTTTCGCCTGAAAGAATTATAGGTTAAAAAAAGAGAATTTACATAATGTTATTTTTAAAACATGTATGATTAGGTCTATTGGTCTAGTTATTGAGGAAGGGGGGGGGGGATTTAATTGCTAGTTAATATTTACACTAATTTTACAATTATATTTTATAATAGTGGGTTAGAAGCACTGGGTTGTAATAACATTTTATCCCTCTTGAATTATGCAATTGCACTTGTCCTCAAAATTGCAGTAATTAAAATAAATTAAGCAAATTAAGCTCATTTCAGGAAAATTAATTTTGTTATTGAACTTAAACTTTTTATCTTTTGCAACGCTATTTAAGCTTCTTTTACAGCATGTTTAAGTTGTACTAAAGTTTTAGCTATGATAATTGTGTTAAAGCTTTCATATTTTGTGTTTCAACTGTACAATCTTGTGTTTAAACTTTGATATTTATGTTTAAACTTTAATATCTTGTGTTTAAACTCTTATATATTTTGTTTAAACTTTTATACTTTGTGTTTAAACTTTGATTTCTTGTGTTTAAAATTTGATATTTTGATAGATTACAAAGTTACGTTACGTTTACGTCCTGCAGTACACAGCGTTATGTTAACGTCTCGCAGTACACAATGTTACGTTAACGTACTGCAGTGCACAATGTTACGTTGATGTTCTGCAGTACACAATGTTACGTTAACGTACTGCAGTTCACAATGTTACGTTGACGTACTGCAGTACACAAAGTTGAGTTAACGTTCTGTGGCTCAATATTTCATGTTAGCACGTTGCATTACGTTATGGTTGTTAACATACAGCAGTATCTTATGTTATGTAGACGTCCTGCAGTAAACAATGTTATGTAAACATAGTTCATATTGTTATGTAAACATACGGCGAAATGGATCGAAGAAAAAATGAACCAGTAATACCTCAAAATATTTATTTGATAAAAATTAAAAAAATTAAATTAACGGCATATGTGTATTATACATTTAAATATCTATGCAATCTCTAAACCTCTTTATGTTAACTATCTTGATAATTTATGTAGTTGTTAAATTTTATTAAATGCGTTAAATACATATTAGAACTAGTATTTTTTCCATGGGTAGGATTGTATGGAATGTTTGTTAAATTAAACCAATTTTAAAATATTATAGCTCCACGCTCCCTTGTTTTATGTTTAATGTAAGATAGGAAACCTGGCCTCGTAAAGGTAAATCGTAAACTATTATATTATTATTTTAATATTTTACTATTTTTAACGGGTTTCATAATAGGCTTGATGATATACGGCACAGGAATACAAATATTGTTTTAAGTGACTAATGATGGCGGGTGGGGGGGGGGTTAGTCATTTTATACATGAAAATTTGAGAAACCTAATACTTTAAAAAATATTCGAAAGTTTAAACGTTAAAATTCAACACATATTTTTGTGCGTGCTTTTAATTTTTTATCCCATTTTCTTAATTTAGTTTTACAATTCTTGGTTTCATTTTCTGCCCTTTTTTCTTCTTAATTATTTTTATGTGTAACTTTTTTTTATTATTTAAATATTCATAAAATATAAAATTTAAATACTGATTTAAAATATTTATCATCAACTTATGTGAAATAATTGGTCAAAATTAAGAACCTTTTCAAATTATTAATAATAAAATTTTACTATTTTACCGCAAAATCCAATTTCTGCTTTTCAATATACATCTTCAGTAAACGTGAGATGAGTTCCTATTTAAGCAATGCTAGCCCAAGAAATGAGAATATGATAATTAAACCACGCCAAATTAAAGTAAATTTTACTTTAGATTGAAATATTAAATGTTTTCAATCATAACTCCGCTTATAAAAGAGATTTTTAGAGAAGAAAACATATGTTTTGAATTAATAGCATTAACTAAACAAATTAGCTTTTCCCATAGCTAAGCGTAAAATCATAACTAGAGGAGCTACGAGATTACAACGTCGTAGAGATTTGACCTTCGCCATATGATTATGCAAGCTTTGCAGACGGGTACTCCATTTGTATAAAAAATATTTAGAATAGGTTATTGTATACGCGGTAATTGTACATGAGCCAAATATTTCTTATATAAATGGAGTACCCGTCTGCAAAGCCTGTATAATCATATGGTAGTGTGAACCGCGTCAGTTGTATCTCCCTTCTATTCCTTACTCCCTGGCTGCTAGAAATGAGAATGAGAAAGAAAAGTTTATAAATGAAACCACATTTCTGTAGTGCACAGAGTTCACATTTTTATTGATAGATTCAATAGAACTACAGATGCAACAAAGTGCCAAACATTTCTTAAAAAATTACAATTTTGCATTTTAATATTCTAAAATTTAAATGTTAAAATAATAAAATCTAAAATTATGACTGAAGACTACTTAGTCTTAATGCAAATATAAAGACGCTTCACTGTTTTAAATTCTTTAAATGCTGATTTATGCTGTAATTTATGTTCTGAAAATCTTCGATTTACTAATTGCACCGCCTTTTGACCAACATTAGCGACCTATGATTCCCCCCAACAGAGGGAGGTTAGGGTACTTAACGTCCCTTGGGACAGTTATGTAAAATAACCACCCGTTTTGCGGGAAAAAATTATCGCATTTTCATTTCAAAAGACGATAAAATTGTGTACAACTACTTTTTCGGGAAATTAAAAATGTTACTTAACCACGGGTTCCCTAGGTAAAGTAAAAATCCCTAAACTTCCATGTAAAGTAGATGTAAAGTATTAGTATTTTCCTATATTAGGAGTTCACAATCTACAGTACCATTACTAGGTTTATAAAAAGTTTACTAGGACAAATTTACAAAAAAGATTTCACGCATTTAATACTTTTTTTTTGAGAATTAAGTTTAAACCTTAAAATTTTAAATAATCTGAAATACTGAAAACTAAAGACAATCACAATTTAATTTATATCACAGTAACTTTTAGTAACTTAAACAAAACTAATCAAAATAAAAGTATTTAGATGCCAAATTAACGAGCCACGTTTGAGTCCCTTTTTAAAGATTGCTATTTTTAGAATAAATTAATTTTAAATCTAGATATCTTGAATTTTTTAATTCACTGTTCTGTTAACAGAGTTTTCTATCATGTTAAATAGCCAGAGATGGAATTTAAAGAATTTAAGCCGCGGTTTAAATCCGCCAAAACCCGGTTTAAATTAAGCGCCGGTTTAAATCTTGAAACATTTGATACAATTTTAAGTGGAACCAACCATATTTAAACCGCGGCTTAAATTTAAACCGCCGCTCAAATTCTTTAAATTCGGCCACAAGTTGGAGCTACCTTTGTTGAAAAAGATAGAAGTTGCAAAGTTTTTTAAGATTGCAATTTTCGATTCAAACACATCACTTTTCTTGTTTATTTTTACTATAGTGAAAAATCATTTTTTTTTGAATTTATGGACGTACGATGGATTCGGTAAAATGTTAGATAAATTTTTTAAAACATATTGCTGAGAATATGTATTTAATTTGTGAAGGAGTTTACTTTAATTCTTCGGATTTAATTGATCTTGTTCATGGATACCTCGTAGACGTGACCCAGAAAAAAGCTTTCACTACAGATATCAAGCTGTGTAGATTAGCACTAAAACTAGCAAAAATTTAGACTTTTGAAAAATTGTAAAATATTTTTTTGAAAATCATATATTTTATTTTAATGTTGATCTTTTTCATGTTTCTTTAGCTGTGCCGGGGAGGAGAATACATTGCCACACTTCTCACACATTAGATTTCTACTCTTCTTGTGAACCTTAAAAAAAAGATTAAAGGAATTGTTCACAATTGAAAGGAAAGATTCGCTAAAAATGAACTGGAGATGTAAAATGAACAATTATTTCGAACCGATGTATGGTGTCAAGAAAGGTTTAAATAAAAATCTTTTTTCATGTGATTAACACTACTGAACATCCTTCAATCTAAAAAGTAAAAAGACAAAAATTCATCAAAAAACTTTGGATTGTTTTTACCTTTGATATATGCTGGCTTAGGTTTGTATATTTCTTGTTACATTCAGGACACTGCAGCTATAATAATGATAATAAAATTATTTCAATAATAATGATAATTATAAAGAAATAATATCAATTATAACAATAATAATAATAATATTGATAAGGATAAGGATAATGATAAAAATAATAACGATCATAATAATAATTATAATAATACTATCGATTATAGACACAATAATAATTTTGATAATAATATAATGTAAAAAATTAAAAGTTATGATTTAATGATAATAATAATAATAATAATAATAATAATGGAATGAATTTAACAAAGCAAAAATAAAAATAAAACTATGAACCTTATGTCCTTCATGAACTAGTCGAATATGCTGTCTAAGATCACTGTAGGATTTACCACAGATAGGACAGGGAGATCTTTGCTGAAAAAAAACATAGAAATAAATGTTATATTCATTACTTATAAAAAAAAATAATAAAAAAGAATATGTTAAGAAATTAGCTATGTTCAATCTGCACCAATAAAAAACTGTACATTATGTCTCTAAGTTTCTAGGTTAGGTGGACGGGCAAGAAAAACAGTAGAGTTAATAAAAAAATGGCAAAAGCAAAAACGGTTTTGATGTCGTCTTGACCCCCTTACCTTGTCATGAACATTGAGAATATGGCGCTCCAGATCAGTTTTCAGATAACAACTGTAACCACAGTCTCCACACTCGTAATTCTTCACCTTTACATTAATCCTTTATTAAAGAGATTGTTCACGTATTCCTCTTATTTGTTTCATTTAAGGATTTGTTCAGATATTTTATTTATTTATTTTTATGTCGGTCAGGTTTCATTAACCTTTCTTTTAATACTATTATTAATATCATTTTTAATATTGTTATTCTTATCTTTTCTATATAATAAAGTTGTTCACTCATATATATATTATCTTTATTATTATTATAAATATTATTATTATTATTATTATTATTATTATTATTATTATTATTATTATTATATCTCAACCGATTTTAAAGCCCTTTCTACTCTTATTTTCGAACCCACATTTTAGTTAACTTTCTAATCCCTTTTTTAAACTGTATTTTAAAATTCCGCTTTATAGACTTTTTTACAAGTTCAAAAACATTCCAGAATCGACATTTGTTTTGGTGAAGAGTTTATACTATTTTATCAGTGATTTTTTAAATTTTGTTAGCTTGAGAAAAATTGAACATATAATTTTTACTGTAATTATGGGCTTTCTACTTACTTCCGGATGAATTTTGTAACGGAAATGTCGTACGGAACTTTTCCTCAAGCTCATTTATACGTCTCTGTAGACTTTAATAGAGAAAACCCAAATTTAAAATTAAAAGTCGGAAAAAAAGAAGAAAAAAATGTTAATCCTCATCGATCAGACAAAGGTTTGCAGGGTACCGTTGTAAATCAAACATTCCACGCCCAAAGAAAATATTAATAAATATTTTATAAATAAAAATATACGCACCTGTGAATGTTGTTGATTAATATGATGTTTAAGATTGGTAAATTCTCGACCACAATGCGGGCATTGTGAACTCTTTTTACTAGACAAACAACAGATAAAAAATACTTTTTTTAAAGAGTTATTTTTATATTTCTTTAAAAGAATTTATTTAATGTCTTTCTTGATTATATGTAGAAGCTAGAAAATCCACTTGACCTGACTGTAAACGTAATTTTAAGTTAATTTCTAGAGTTGTATACACGATTCACAATGGTTCCCTGGAAACCTTCGACTGAGCACGATTTTGATTTCTTTTAAAGAGTTAATAACGTTGACTTTTGGTTTCGCTGTGAAAAATACTTGCGGATTTAAGTAAAAAAATAAATTAAAATGTTTTTCTCATTGTTTCTCAGATAAAAATGTGAAGACTACCTTTCAGAATATCAATAAAAATTCCGATTACAGTTCCTTAGTACCAAAACATTTTATGTTAAATGTTAGATGAAAAATAAACTTTCTTTAGGTTAATCCTAAGTTTAAAAGGATGCTATAAACTATTCACAATAAGCTATCTTTGCCAATTTTTGCTCTTTTTCAAATTAAAATTCTTCTATTAATAAAATAGTGTTTTAGAGTAAAAAATAATTAATATTGTTTTACAGTAAAAAATTATTAACAATTTTGCACAGTTGTTTTTTGATTATAATTAAAGACAGATATTCCTGTTATAAACTCCAAAACAAAAATAGATTTTAGAAAAAGGTTTGATACTTTAAATTGATTATGACACTTTTTGAATTTTAAATAACATTAACATTCTCTATAAACATTTTTGATTTTGGTAAGATTGAAAGAATTGTATTTTGTAAGAATTCAATTAATTTCTCTTCTGCTTATTATATATATTTGCTTCTTTAATTGATCAAAATTAGGGGGTAATTCTAAACTTAATTCATTAAAAACTTTTTTATGAGAAAAAATATTGCGAAATTCGTTACTGGCCTATTGTTTCAGATCTTTAGCCTATGTAATTATATTGAAAAATAATTAATAATTCTCTAGAAATTAACTTATTAATTAATTAACTAATATCTGCCTAGTTTCCTGTGCTTAGAACTGTACCCCAGCATATCCGGTAAGGGAACCTCAATCATTGTTTAACTAAAATCTAACAAATATTTGTTTAATGGTCTTTTTCTTTTCATTATTCATGTTAGAAAATCTTTTTTTATTATTTATTTAAATAGATCTAATCTAATTTGGTCAAATCTTTTCTGAATAATGCATCAAAATTATAATTTTCAAATATTCAAAATATACAAAATATCTTGCAAAAAGAAGAATAGGTCGTAATAACTTGTATTAAATTATCTAACTGATACCTGATCAAATTTTTTAGTAATTTCTGTTTTAATTCGTTGAAATGTAGTTTGCGAATTTTCTTTGTGTTTGCAGATTTGAACTCTGATTTGCGGATACAGGATCAGCTGTTTTCCAGCCTAGCCAACCACCGGCCCCGGGATACAGGGATACAAAAATATATACAATTTATGTTTTTACAGTTAATCTTTAATCACTTATTCACTTTTTCAATCCACAAATGAGTTGAAAAAAACATGTATCTGAAAAATGGATGGTAATTTCAATATAATCATGTTAACTCTTATAAAGAAAAAAATGTTGTTGGTTTGGTTTCTATTTTGGTTCCAAAATACCAGATGGAATAGAAAATGTCTGGGTAGAGGTTCAAAAGAGAACTATTCGACTTGAGTTGGGTAAAAATACGTTGGGATATCTCCATATATCTCCCCGCGTATCCCTCCATATACACTGCTCCCCCCCCCTCTTCTCTCTCCCAGACCAGGGTTGAGATGGAGGGGGGGGGAGGAGGGGATACAGGGTACGTTTTAGGTACACTATTCAATATAAGGATATTTTACCACTCACAGCTTCAGAGCCTCGGGCAAAACAGGGGTTATTCTTGATCACATAAAAAATATTTTTTTAACAATTTGGTTTAAATACTGATTTTTTCTAATGGCACAATTCAATTTTTTTCTTTTCTCACAATATCTGAGTCTTTCTATTTTTTGAAATATGTGAAACAATAGACAGATAGACAGATCAACGGATAGACTTTTATATATATAATAGGTAATATTGTATATATAGACAGATAGACATAATTCTATTATTCATATCTCAATTAAGAAATTAATCATTTGAATTTTTAGGAATTGATATTAATTAATTTCATGATTACTTTTTATTTTTAGAAAATATTTAATATTGTTAGTTGTAACCGTTATTTCAAGGTCATGTCTGACATGTTGAGCACAGTTTGGTTTCAAAACGCGATTACTAATCCTGAAAATTTAGGTTCTTGCGTGAAAAAACGGCGTATTTTTAAATAAACGCTTAATTTCTAAAATCATCTCTTTAAATCTGAATCCACAGTCTTGTCTTGTCTGAATCCACAGTCTTAATTAAAAAAAATCACTTAAATAGCAGAACATTTTCAAAACAGATTATTCTTCTCAAAATATACCACTAAGTTGCTCTGAAAGTGACCATTTTTAGCTATTCTCAATTTTTGGCAGATTTTTAGGGCAAATTGCTCAGCTTAGGCAGTCCATAAACCTTACCTTGGGACATATTAGGGGCCATAAAAATCGGATCGGTTCAGCCGTTTTGACGTTTATTGAATGCAAACAAACAGACAGACAGACAAGCAAAGTGTATATATAGATATCAATAGCTGTCAAAAGGGAAATGTGTGAGTGGGAGGAAGTACTTCACAATTTAAATTTGAATTTGGCTTAATTCCTTCTGGGGAGGTTTGAAAATGTAAAATAAACACCTTCATATTTTGCCAATATATTATGAGGATATGCTTTTAAACTTTTGACAAAAATTTGAGAAGATTATCTGCTCTTATCAATCCTAATATAAGAGGCTGTGATAAATAATATGTAATAGATATCAATGTATGTTATGTATATTGTATATTGTATATATGTCAAACAAAGGTCTAAATCTATTTTATTTCTACTGCTATTTCCTTCAGATTTACAGGAAATTCGCGTAAAAAAAATACTAGCCCCCAAATTGTTCTTTAGTGACCGATAGATTAGAATGTTTTGATGACACCTTTTGTGATTCAACTATAAAGGAACTCGCCACAAATTCGAATTTTCGTATCCTTATATCTTTGCAACTTAATGTTGTTGGCCTTTGATTTTTTAAACTATAAAGTTTGAAATATCTAAGGTTTACTCCATCAGGTTGCAAAGATATGGTGATTCGAACTATTTTATAACCATTACGTCATGAGTTAATATATTAGAAGAAATCTACTCTTCACAGGTTTTTCACAATTCAAATTTCTAATTGCATATTTTGTATTTTGATCTTTAAAATCGCTAAAGAACAATCGTCACCGAAGTCTGGAGANACCATAGTTTATATAAAGTTTGGATTATCATTTTAACTCGAAATCTATATTTTTATTTAGTATATTTAGAATATTCTTATCGATCAAAAAAGTTTTTATCTTAGAAGTACATTACAATGCTTTATATAGTACTAAACTTCTCCATACCAGCGAACCAAGATAAGCACGCTCTCATGCAAAAATTGATCAGTATTTTGCCAATTACTCTTTTTTACTCTTTAACTAGAAACAAGCATAGTGCAATTTAAAATGTATATTTCTAGGACTAAAAAATGTATAATTGAGTTGGTGAAGAAAAATTCAAGGCTGTCTAAAAATGTGATGAATAGATTTCAGTATCCGGTCCGGTCTGATAAGTAGATGCATAGTTTTCATAGCTGTATGGACATATAAACGTTATAAAGCACACGATTGATAAAACTAATTAAATGTTTTAACATAAAGGGTTACACTCAAAGAATAAGACTAAAAGACGACCTACAAATTATTAATTCTGTCGATCTGAAGCTTTAATTTTCACTTTTACAGGTGTATTAAATTATTTGCAATAAAAGAAAGTTTAATATTTATCATCTTTATTTCAAATATAGAAAATCATACAGATAAATAAATGCAAAACAGCATATATTTAAAATGTTAGTTATATTGTATATAATTTGTATATAACACTGCAGGTTGTAAATTTGATTAAAAAATAGGTTTAACAGACGGAGTAAACTTATCCCAGTCCTGGGATTTCCTGCTTACAAATATGTATTAGAAGAATAGTAAGGGATGAAATGAAATGTAACAACGAATGTAGAAATAAAGACTAGTTATGTCGTGGGTAACCTTGAATATGATTTCTTGTAAAAAAGTTTTACATAAATCTAGATTTATTCCAGAATTGATGTTAACACTTTACAATTTGCGCATTATCCGTAAATTGTTCTTATATTTTCCTAGGATTGGATGAAATATTTGCAGTCTGTACGAATCATGTTTTTCTCCTCCCCCTGATTGGTTGGATTGAAAGCTCTCCTATTGGTCAATATTTCGCACACTTTCCTTCCAGTCTCCGATTGGCTTTTCACCCTTGCAACACTTGCAAATCTCTATTTCTGCAGATTAACCTGAAATCTTTGCAGATTTGTTGAGCGAACTATTTTCTATATATTTGATACATTTTGTCATAAGTCTAATAATAATAAAATAGTTTTGATGAATTTATATTGAAAATGTATGCAGGAATACAAGGAAGCAATGTATGGAGGATCCAAACCTCTGCCGCCACCCCATACTCCCTCCCCCCTCTCAGTATTCCTCTCTCTCTCCCTGCAACACCCATTGCCGCCAACTTTGGGCTGAATGCAGATCTGCAAATGCAAATATGGGCGCCCTGCAAAGGATCAGTTTTGCATATTCGAATTTTTACATTATTTTTGGGACGGTTTTACGTTCTAAAAAACATGAAAATTGCCAATTATAAGTAATAGATAGAAACTTCGTATGCGAAAAATGAGATTAGGTTCCCCTAGGTTTGCGAATATAAATGTCCGTCTAAAATGCATAATTTGAAATGTAAAAGATCTACGAAATGCCCCCCCCCCCNTTTCTACATTTACTTCTCTTTTATTATGGGTGAAACTATTTGATTATATTGCTCAGGTTTTCTTCGTTTTTAGTTTACAGTTTCTACACTTACTTCTCTTTTATTATGGGTGAAACTATTTGATTATATTGCTCAGGTTTTCTTCGTTTTTAGTTTACAGTTTCTACAATTACTTCTCTTTTATTATAACCAATATTACAACATGAAGGAAGATACACCAGGAACTAATATTACAATATCAAGGAAGATACATTAGGAATGAATATTACAATATGGATGGATACATTTGTTCATCTCAAACTTGGACGTAAAATCAAAACTAGAGAAAATACGAGTTCACAAAGTCGTACCAGAAATTTTTCATAAATTTGACCTTTTCCAGTTGTCTACAGATTGTACCTAGTCTGAAATATTATTAAATATTCGGTAGGGCTATAAGTTTTTTTTTAATATTGATTGATCATATAGAAAATCAAAACAGGTTGATCAGCCTTTAAATTCATCTTGAAACTATTTGCGGAGCCATCTTAATTTTATTGAATAGACTGACAGCAAAATATATAAAGTTAGTTGAAGGGTGTTTTGATCTTCCATTCTTTTTGTCAAAATTAGGTGTTCAAAACAATTTGAATACATTATTTCACGACATTTTAGGCTTTTGAACATTTATGAATAGTAAAAAACAATGTCAATTTCTCTTCCTCTCCCCCTAAAACCCACCACCCCGCTTCTGCTTTGAAAGGCTCGCAAGCTGAATTGTAATGGGTTCCGCACTAAATGTTGATTTTTAGCAAGATTTGTGATTTTTTAGTTTCATTAATAGTTCAAGAAAGGAGTTGAGTTTTTGTCACAAACTCAAATTTTCAAATTCCTATAACTTTGAATCCTGAAAATGTAAACCTGTAATATTTCAAATTTAGATTAATTCATCTAACAGAATTCAAAGTTTAAAATATCTGAGGTCTTCGAGGACGACATTAGGTTGACAATCTGAGTTTGTGGCGAAAACTCAATTCCGTTACCACTTTGCGGTCCTTATTATCACTTAAACATCCGTGGTTCTTCTTTTTACGCAGGATCTTGAAGTGTATCATAGGGCCCAATGTTTTCTATAAAATCTAGTATTTTATCCAAGAAATAATAAAACCATAAAAATGAAGTTTGAAAGTAGCATAGCAACAGCTATTCATCAACAGAATATATGATAAAGTTCTGTTTTCCCGACCTAGTCTTGTTTCGACATTTGATTTACAACAATGGAACTGAGTTTTTGCCGTAAATTATTATTTTACAATCACTATATCTTTTCAACCTGATGGTGTAAACCCTTGATATTTCAAACTATTATTATATTTTATCTAAAATGATTCATAGCTTGAAATATCTAAGGTTTCCGACATTCAAATGCAAAGATATAGGAATAAGAAAATCAGAGTTTGTGACAAAAACTCAATTCCAATTAGATATCACAGCACAGAACTCATCATTTAGAGAAATTTTAAAATAAAGTTTATTTTTAAGAATAAATATTTATATTTTCCGC